CCATGCTCGCGCGGTCTTGTCCGCGCAATGGGCCGCGTAGAACACGCCTCCCGCAGACAGGGTAGCAACCAGCGCCCGGAGGTTGGAGTTGGTGCCAGACGAGAGAAACTCATACAGCTTCTTGGCCGACGCCGCCAACTCATCTGCTGTTGGGGCCGCGGCAGCTGCGCCCTGGAGCTTCCGGCGCTTGAGGCCTCCGAACGTGTCCTCTTTGGATTGGATAGCAGCGCGGCCGGCGTTCAGAGCCTGGCGCGAACATGGTCGAAACACACGAGGCAAACGTAAAAGCGATCCGGTTTCGCACCCCTTTGCCTTGAGGTGCGGCAGGAGGTCGCCCGCTTCCTCGTCCACTTTCTTCACCACAGAGTCCTTCAGCAACTTCCGCAGAAAGTCCCGGCTCTGGAATTCTTCGATGCTGTTGAGCAGCACCTCCGCAAGCCGCGACAGCCCGACTCCAACCCGGTACGGGGCGTCCTTGCAGTTCTCGGGCGTAGCCGCAAGCTCGGAGTAGAACGCTGCGAACTTGTCCCCTTTGCAAGCCATAGCCCACAACGCAGACAGCTCTATTTCTTCCAGCGCAGATGCTCCCGAGGGGTCCAACGCTTTGGAGGCAATCATGTCGATGGTCTTAAGCTGAGTCCGTTTGCCTTTTGCCTCGCCTTGGCGAGCGTCCTGGCCAAAACATCCGAGCTGCTGGCCATGAGTCAAGAGTTTCTATCAAAGCGGGCAAGCTTGATTTCTAGAGCCAAATGCTTTTCGGCTGCAACGAACAACGGCTTTCCAATTCCCAAACTGTGGTCTTTTGCAAGATATGCCGGAAGCAAGTGAGGCTAGCCCTTGCAAACTCGCTCGCCGCCCTTGACCTGACAACCCTTGTCTGCCTTTTTTGCCGCAAAGCTTCACCTTAAATAAAGTCGTCTTCAGTTTGAACGAGGCACGAACCTGCCCACGAGCACCTCCCCCGGCCGCTGTTCATGCCGTTGAAAGATGTCCGGCAGCTGCGCCTCGCCCGGCCACTGTTCATGCCGTTGAAAGTGCCAATGTCCGGCGTTCCTGAGGGGCGCGTGAAATCAAGTGTCCGTCCCTGAATCAACCCAAACTCTTTGTGACTGCCGTGACAGCTTTTGTCCGGGGCCCGACCCTGTTCATTGTCTGCGCTTGCTGCTGCCAAGCAGCGCCTACTTACTTAAGCGACGGCCCGTGGAGCACCGCCCGCGCCCCCACGTCGAGTAGTAGTTTCGACGTGGGGCCGGGCGGCTTCATTCGCAGCCGCAGCGCGCAAGAAGCCGCTCGAGAGCGGGCGGCCCCCAGAGGGGACCGACGCGGCGTTACCACCACTATTAAAGGTTTTGCGAAAACGATGTTCGTTTTGCTGCGTCGGGATTGGCCAAATCTGCCGGCGGCGGCTCGGCCCAGCTGTTTTCGCGCTACTAAACGCAACAGTAGCGGGGCCCCCCGCTACCCGTCGGTAGCGGGGCGTAGCGGGGCGTCGCGGGGGGGGGCCCCGCTACGGCCGTAGTGGGGCAGTAGTGGCGGGACGGTAGCGGGGCCTGTAGCGGGGCCGCCCCGCTACGGTAGCGGGGGCCCCCCGCTACGCCCCGCTACGCCGGCCTGTAGCGGGCCCCCCCCGCTGCAGTAGCGGGGCCGCCCGCTACCTTTCTGAGTCCATGATGGCCGTCAGCGCGCAGATCCTAATCAATGACTGCTGGCGGGCGCGTCCACATTGGGCGTCAGCAGCGAAGATGTGTCCAAATCGCAGCCTGCTGGCCAACCAGGGCCGCCAATCAGCAAAGCCCAACCTGAGCCCCGCACGCAGTGATTTGGAGAAATTTTTGTTTTTGCCTGCTGGCGCCTGGGCCCGCCAGCAGTTACTGATTTGAGCCTTCCTGCGCTCACTGGGCCTGCCAGAAGGCACAGGTTTGCATATGAACATTTTGCTTGCCTGCCGCCAGGCCGGCCAGCAAGCTTGATTTGGAAAGATCTTTGCCCTTGCTTGCTTGCTGGCGCCACTGATTTGAACCCTCCTGTGCTCACTGGCGCCCGGGCCTGCCAGCAGGCACAGGTTCGCATATGAAAATTTTGCTTGTTTGCCGCCAGGCCGGCCCAGCGAGCTTGATTTGGAAAGATCTTTGCCCTTGCTTGCTTGCTGGCGCCTGGGCCCGCCAGCAGTTACTGATTTGAGCCTTCCTGCGCCCACTGGCGTCCGGGCCCGCCAGCAGGCGCAGGTTTGCATATGAAAATTGTGCTTGCCGGCCGCCAGGCCGGCCAGCGAGCTTGATTTAGAAAGATCTTTGCCGTTGCTTGCTTGCTGGCGCCTGGGCCCGCCAGCAGTTACTGATTTGAGCATACCTGCGCTCACTGGCGCCCGGGCCTGCCAGCAGGCACCGGTTTGCGTATGAAAATTTTGCTTGCCTGCCGCCAGGCCGGCCCACGAGCTTGATTTGGAAAGATCTTTGCCCTTGCTTGCTTGCTGGCGCCTGGGCCCGCCAGCAGTTACTAATTTGAGCCTTCCTGCGCCCGCTGGCGCCCGGGCCCGCCAGCAGGCGCAGGTTTGCATATGAAAATTTTGCTTGCCGGCCGCCAGGCCGGCCAGCGAGCTTGATTTGGAAAGATCTTTGCCGTTGCTTGCTTGCTGGCGCCTGGGCCCGCCAGCCGTCACTGATTTGGGCGCCTTTGCTCGGCCTGGCGGCCGCCAAGCAAAGGCAGCAAAGACATGTTCAAATCACTGTCTGCTGGCCGGTCCGCGCCGCAGTGCAGAGGCCAAACCCGTGCCTGCTGGCGGGCCCGGGCGCCAGTGAGCGCAAAGGCGCCCAAATCAGTGACCAGGCGTCAGCAAGCAAAGGCAAAGATCCACTGCTTGCGGGCCTGGCGGCCGGCCAGCAAAGGCAGCAGGACATGTCCAAATCACTGCCTGCTGGCCGGTCCGCGTCGCCAGTGCAGAGGCCGAGCCCGTGCCTTCTGGCGGGCCCGGGCGCCAGTGAGCGCAAAGGCGCCCAAATCAGTGACTGCTGGTTGGCTCAAGCGTCAGCAGGCAAAAGCAAAGATCTTTCCAAATCACTGCTTGCGGGCCGGCCTGGCGGCCGGCAAGCAAAGGCAGCAGGACATGTCCAAATCACTGCCAGCTGGCCGGTCCGCGCCGCCAGTGCAGAGGCCAAACCCGTGCCTGCTGGGGGCCCGGGCGCCAGTGAGCGCAAAGGCGCCCAAATCAGTGACTGCTGGTGGGCTCAGGCGAAATCACTGCTTGCAGGCCGGCCTGGCGGCCGGCAAGCAAAGGCAGCAGGACATATCGAAATCACTGCCTGCTGGCCGGTCCGCGTCGCCAGTGCAGAGGCCGAACCCGTGCCTTCTGGCGGGCCCGGGCGCCAGTGAGCGCAAAGGCGCCCAAATCAGTGACTGCTGCCGGGCTCAGGCGTCAGCAAGCAAAGCCAAAGATCTTTGCTTGCAGGCCGGCGCGGCGGCCGGCAAGCAAAGGCAGCAGGGCATGTCCAAATCACTGTCTGCTGGCCGGTCCGCTGCAGAGGCCGAACCGGGCCCGGGCGCCAGAAGCGCAACGGCGCTCAAAGGCAAAAATCTCGTCAAATCGCTGCCTACTGGCCGGCCTGGCGGCCGGCAAGCGACATGTGCTGGTCCGGCCTGCCAGCGCAGAGGCCAAACCCGTGGGCGCCAGTGAGCGCAAAGACCGCAAACAGTGACTGCTGCGCCCCACGCCAGCAAAGATCTCCTAAATCACGGCTTGCGGGCCCGCAGTGAGCAAAGGCGAGAAAATCAGGACTGCCTGCGGGCCGGCCCGCGCCGCAAGTGCAAAGGCCAAATCCTCGCCGGCTGGCGGGCCCGGCGTCAGTGAGCGCAAAGGCGCTCCCAAATCAGCGACGGTCAGCGCGCCAGCAAGGGAAGGGCCGACGATTTCGATCGGCCGACGATTTTGAGTCAGCTGGCCGTTCTTATTAAATCTTACGCAAAAACGAAACATGTTAGCTCAAATGCAAAAAAAGTTTGCTACTTGGAGCTTGATTGAAAGACCGATTTATCGCAGCGAGTGCTAAAAAACCAAAAAAACCTCGAGTTTTTTAGAGTTGGCAGCCGGAAACCATGAAAAAACCTGCTAAAACCTCAGAAGCGAAGCAAAAAGCCTCGAGTTTTTTTGTGTTTTCCAGAAGAAAAATGCAACACTCCCCACAAACGAGGATCGGGGGCCGAAAAAAAACGTAAAAAACACCTTGAGTTTTTGAAGGTCAGCGCAGCCAAAGTGCCGAGAGGGTTCACTTTGCAACTTGAAAAAGCAAAAAAACCTTGAATTTTCCACGGCTCACCGCAGATCGATTAAAAAATGCGTTTCTTAATAAACAGTTAATAGGAAACCGACGAGTTCGAGTCGGTTGTTTTGTAAAAAGGTGACTACAAAAGCCCGGACGACCGCAGATCGACCAAAAAATGCGTTTCTTAATAGACAGTTTAATAGGAAACCGACGAGTTCAAGTCTGCTGCCCAATTTTTTAAAAGCCGCAGATTGACCAAAAAGTGCGTTTCTTAATAGACAGTTTAATAGGAAATCGACGAGATCAGGTCGGCTGCCCAATTTTGCAAAAATGTGACTACAAAAGCCCGGACGACCGCAGATTGATCCAAAAATGCGTTTCTTAATAGACAGTTTGAGAGGAAATCGACGAGTTCGGGTCGGCTACATAAAATTGGAAAAAGCGAATGCAAAAGTCAGGCAAGAAGAGCTAAGAAGCTGCAGGAGAACAAAAAAAGTAAGGCCGAGCGAAAGACGATGAAACAAGAGGCGCTGAAAGGCAGCAAGGCGGGTCCGCAATAAAGCCGCTGTGCGGATGCAGGACGTATGATGTCGCAAGCCATAGTCGCGTTTTCGGGTTTGGGCAGGGGCCTTCGCTCGCCAGGATTATCGCGCCCGAAAGAAACTCCGCGCCCAGCACAAGACACAGGCACGCCCGACACACAGAAACAGACCCGATCCGTCGTCTTGCGGGGCGTACGAAGAGGCGGAGGCTGCGCTGAAGGCCAAGCACGGGCGCCCGCCTACAGCGGTGGAGCTGCAGGCAGCGCTGTCGCCGCAGGCGGGCAAGTGTTTGACAGGTTCTGTGACCGCACTCAACTGTCAGGAGCGTCCTGTCGCTCGCCGAGCGAACAACTCTGAGGCAAGGCGCGCGAGGGTTGACCCAAACGTAAAGTCGCTTGTTAAAGCCTGCGCAGGACGACGAGGAGTTCGCGGCAGCGCTGGCCCGAGCCAAATTTCTCAGTCAGCAGGAGCAGGAAGACGACAGGCGGGTGGCTTGAGAACTGTTGGCGCATAGTTGTAGTTGACTGGTGTGCCAGGGATCCAGATGCAGGGCCAAGTCGGCCCGCAAAGGACTGACCTTTTGATCAGGACGTTGTTAAAAAAGCTAGTGTGAGGGCCGGGGGGGGGGTCAAGGTCACAAAACCTTACCGCGTCAACGCTTGCTGCCTTGGCGGGCCCCTCTCAGAATCTCTTTAACGGGGCTTTGTCGAACAGCAGTGAGAGGGTGGGGAACAGCGCAAGGGCCTTCGACTGTAGAAGGTGGGGAGGGTCAGGGCCTTCCCCCACGCCTTGCGCCAAGCCCCTCAAGCCCTGAGCGTCTCAGCGCAAGCTTCAGGAAAGCCAGCGGGAAAAGCGTGTGTTGGGGTGGCCGCAGAGCGACCAAAAAATAAATTTCCTGATGCACAATTTACTGGGAAATCGACAAGCTCGAATTGGCTGCCCAAAAATGTGACTGCAAAAGTCCGGATGACCGCAGATCGATCAGAAAATGCGCTTCTTAATTGACAGTTTAATAGGAGCTCGACGAGTTCAAGTCGGCTGCCCACAATTGCAAAACGTGACTGCAAAAGTCCGGATGACCGCAGATCGGACCAAAAAATGCTTTCTCAACACACTATTAGGAAATCAACGAGCTCGACTTGGCTGCCCAAAATCCGGATGACCGCAGATCGATCAGAAAATGTGCTGCTTAATTCACAGTTTAATAGGAGCTCGACGAGTTCAAGTCGGCTGCCCACAATTGCAACGTGACTGCAAAAGTCCGGATGACCGCAGATCGGGCCAAAAAATGCTTTCTCAACACACAGGTTATTAGGAAATCAACGCGCTCGACTTGGCTGCCCAAAATCCGGATGACCGCAGATCGAGCAAACAAATGCGTTTCTGCATAAACAGTGTAATAGGAACTGTCGACTGCCCAAAATAAGAAAATGCGAATGCAAAAGTCCGGATGACCGCAAATCGACAAAAAATGCATTTCTTAATAGACAGTTAATAGGAAACCGACGAGTTCGAGTCGGTTGCCCAAAATTGTAAAAAGGTGATTGCAAAAGTCCGGATGACCGCAGATCGACCAAAAAATGCGTTTCTTAATAAACAGTTTAATAGGAAATCGACGAGTTCAGGTCGGCTGCCCAATTTTTCACAAATGTGACTACAAAAGCCCGGACGACCGCAGATCGACCAAAAAATGCGTTTCTTAATAGACAGTTTAATAGGAAATCGACGAGTTCGGGTCGGCTGCAAACAATTGGAAAATGCGAGCGCAAATGTCCGGATGACCGCAGATCGACTAAAAAGTGCGTTTCTTAATAGACAGGTTACTCGGAAATCAACCATTTCGATCGGCCGACGATTTTGAATCAGCTGGCCATTCTTTTTTAAATCTTACGTACGAACGAAACATTTTAGATCAAATGCAAGAAGTTTGCCACTTGCAGCTTGAAAAAAGACCGATTTATCGCAGCGAGCGCTAAAAAACCAAAAAACCTCGAGTTTTTTAGAGTTGGCAGCCGGAAACCATGAAAAAACCTGCTAAAACCTCAGAAGCAAAGCAAAAAGCCTTGAGTTTTTTAGGTTTTCCAGAAGAAAAATGCAACACTCCCCACAACCGAGGATCGAGGGCCGAAAAAAAACGCAAAAAACCTCGAGTTTTTGAAGGTCAGCGCAGCCAAAGTGCCGAGAGGGTTCACTTTGCAACTTGAAAAAGCAAAAAAACCTTGAGTTTTTCACGGTTCGAACCCGGAAATGACGACAGGGCCAGCAAATTTTGAACAGCAAAAAATCAGCAAAAAACCTCGAGTTTTTGAGCCTTGGAGCTCCGAAATGATGGCAGGGCCAGCAAAAACCAGACAGAACATAAATCGGGTAAAATTGTATAGGGTTTAAATTAATATAGAAACTAATTGTTTAGGGTTTAGGGTTTAGGGTTTAGGGTCAATCCGATTTCAGGAAACGAGCAACACTTGGAACGTTGGACCCACGGCTGTTGGCTGGAAAACACCACCCGCCCAAGCTCCCAAAGTATTCGGGGCCAAAAAACACATCTGGCTACAAACAAATTCCCAAAAAGTGAGTGCAAAAGTTCGGATGACAGCTGCCCAAAATTGCAAAAAGGGAGTGCAAAAGTTCGGATGACCGCAGATCGAGCAAAAATGCGTTTCTTAATAGACAGGTTAATAGGAAACCGACGAGTTCGGGTCGGCTGCCCAAAATTACAAAAGTCCGGATGACCACAGATCGACAAAAAATGCGTTTCTTAATAAACAGTTTAAGAGGAAATCGACGAGTTTGAGTTGGCTGCCCAAAATTGCAAAAAAGTGATTGCAAAAGTCCGGGTGACCGCAGATCGACCAAAAAATGCGTTTCTTAATAAACAGGTTAATAGGAAACCGACGAGTTCGGGTCGGCTGCCCAAAACTACAAAAGTCCGGATGACCACAGATCGACCAAAAAATGCGTTTCTTAATAAACAGTTTTTGAGGAAATCGACGAGTTTGAGTTGGCTGCCCAAAATTGAAAAAAAGTGATTGCAAAAGTCCGGGTGACCGCAGATCGACCAAAAAATGCGTTTCTTAATAGACAGTTTAATAGGAAATCGACGAGTTCGGGTCGGCTGCCTAAAATTGCAAAAGCGAGTGCAAAAGTCCGGATGACCGCAGATCGACCAAAAAATGCGTTTCTTAATAGACAGTTTAATAGGAAGTCGACGAGTTCGAGTCAGCTGCCCAAATTCCAAGAAAGTGAGTGCAGAAGTCTGGATGACCGCAGATCGACCAAAAAATGCGATTCTTAATAGACAGGTTAATAGGAAATCAACGAGTTCGGGCTGGCTGCAGAAAATTGCAAAATGCGAGGGCCAAAGTCCGGATGACCGCAGATCGGCAAAAAATGCGTTTCTTAATAGACAGGTTAACAGGAAACCGACGATTTCGATCGGAGTTTGCTGGCCGCACTGTATGAAAGTTTGCGTAAAAACAAAACATTTTAGCTTAAGTGTAAAAAGTCTGCGATTTAGAGCTTGAAACAAAGACCGATTTGTCGCAGCGAGCGCTGAAAAACAAAAAGCCTCGAGTTTTTTAGAGTTGGCAGCCGGAAACCATGAAAAAACCTGCTAAAACCTCAGAAGCAAAGCAAAAAACCTCGAGTTTTTTAGGTTTTCCAGAAGAAAAATGCAACACTCCCCACAAACGAGGATCGAGGGCCGAAAAAAAACGCAAAAAACCTCGAGTTTTTGAAGGTCAGCGCAGCCAAAGTGCCGAGAGGGTTCACTTTGCAAATTGGAAAAGCAAAAAAACCTTGAGTTTTCCACGGTTCGAACCCGGAAATGACGACAGGGCCAGCAAATTTTGAACAGCAAAAAACAGCAAAACACCTCGAGTTTTTGAGCCTTGGAGCTCCGAAATGATGGCAGGGCCAGCAAAAACAAGACAGAACACAAATCGGGTAAAATTGTATAGGGTTTAAATTAATATAGAAACTAATTGTTTAGGGTTTAGGGTTTAGGGTTTAGGGTTTAGGGTTTAGGGTTTAGGGTCAACCAAATTCCAGGATAGCAAATCACAAGGAGCGCTTCATCCACAGTTGCTGGTTGAAAACACCACCCACCCAAGCTCCCATTTCATTGGGCAGCCAAATCTTTCGCGACAAATTTAAGATCGTCGCGGAGAAAGAGGCGCGTTTCTCAATCGCGAACCATCGGCTGCGGGATCTCGGATTTGCGTGAGAAAAGCTTCGAAAGCAAAGTTTTTTGAAAAGAAAGTTTGATAGCAGAAGTTCAACGAAAAAAGTTGAGCCCGCGCGTGAGCGCTCAGTGAGAAGTTCTTGAGAAGCGTGTCAGAAGCAATCCCAATGGCTCGGCAACGCTTCGAGCTCACATCTAGCGCGCTCTGGAGCAAATCCCCTTGGCTCGGCAACGGTTTAGGGTTTACGGCCTAAGAAAATGCGCGCCGCGCCACGACGAGAGCGATTTAACCGCGCGAAACTCCGCAGAGGGTCGCGCGCGAATTGAAAATTGCAAAAAACCACGAGTTTTCGAGGTCGACCAGCCCAAGAGTCGCGCGGGCGATTTGAAAATCAGAAAAACCACAAGTTTTCGAAGGTCGACCAGCCCAAAGTCCGCAGAGGGTCGCGCGGGCGATTTGAAAATCGCAAAAAACCACGAGTTTTCGAAGGTCGACCAGCCCAAAGTCCGCAGAGGGTCGCGCGGGCGATTTGAAAATCGCAAAAAACCACGAGTTTTCGAAGGTCGACCAGCCCAAAGTCCGCAGAGGGTCGCGCGGGCGATTTGAAAATCGCAAAAACCACGAGTTTTCGAAGGTCGACCAGCCCAAAGTCCGCAGAAGGTCGCGCGGGCGATTTGAAAATCGCAAAAAACCACGAGTTTTCGAAGGTCGACCAGCCCAAAGTCCGCAGAGGGTTGCGCGGGCGTTTTGAAAATCGCAAAAAACCACGAGTTTTTGAAGGTCGGCGGCCCGAAACCACGACAGGGCCACGAAAAACCGCTCGCCAAGTAGAGGCTCCAAAATGATGGCCCTGCCAGCAAACGAGGGTCAGAAAAAAGTTTAGGGTTTATTGGCTGACAGGGCCAACGTTTTGGAGCGCCGAAAAAGCTCAGTTCACTAGCCGCAATTTCCTTTAGGGTTTAAATTAATATAGATAAACAAGTTTAGGGTTTAGGGTTTAGGGTTTAGGGTTTAGGGTTTAGGGTTTAGGGTTCAAAGACTTCAAGACGTGGATTTTTCAAAGCGAAAATCATCTAAAGCTTCGATCTCAATCCCACCCACCCAGAACCCATTATCAAGGGCCAGCCTCAACAAGTTGCCGGCGCAACTTAGAAAACCGAATTTGGGGGGCGCGCGGCGGAAGCCACGCGGCAAGAACAGCCGCGTGTGGCGACTAGCAAAAGCTTGCGAGCAGCTGCAGCCGTGCGCGCGGGGGCGGCCAGCAAGCAGCGAGCGGGGAGGAACAAGCAAGCGACCCGTCGCGA